AGCTCGCACTGACGAGCCAGAAGTTGAAGTTGGCCTCCACTCCATGGACTTCTCCAAGACCACTCTTCCAGAAGGCTGGACCTATAACAAGAAGAACAACGAGTTTGTCTTGGGAGCCACTCAGGACTGGTGGAGCTTCGAGGATGGCTTTTTGGTCCGCAACCACGTTTGGAGCAGAACAAGCACCTACCATCCTGAAGAGTTCCCGGTCTCTGCCGACTTTCTGCAGACCACCACCGGTCTGTCTATGCAGCAGGGAACTCGCACCATCTATGTCAACTCCACTGAGGAGCAGTACTTTACTGATGGATGGACTGGCAAAACCCTGTACCCTCTCACACAGGCAGGTGCAGAGCACTATGGTCTTCACTACATCGGCGACCTCACCAACAAGCTTCGCAGATGCAAGACTTTGCGTGGCCGAGGCCACATCTGGCAAGCAGTTGGTATGGGCGCTCCTCGCAAGAAACATGTTAAGGAGAGCGCCGACCTCAATGAGCGCCGGATGTCACTGGAGGACCGCCTGACCTTCCTGGAGGGCAAGAAAGCAGAGCTCTCAAGCATCTTTGAAAATGGAGTTTGGGAGATTGAGACCGACCCCGCTTCTGTCGACCACAACAGAGTGATGAAAGCTCGCTTTGTTTTGAAGTGGGCAGCGGATGGCAAGGGCGGCCTCAAGGCCAAGGCCCGTTTGGTGTTGCAAGGGTTCTCTGACCCCGACCTGTTGAATGGCGCTCTGGATACTTCATCGCCGACTTTGGCAAGGACCTCTCGACAAGTGTTGCTGGCTATCAGCCAAGTTTCTGGCTGGAAACGCTGGACAGCCGACGTCAGTACGGCATTCCTCCAAGGTGATCCTCAAGAACGAGTTCTTTGGGCTCGCATTCCTCGAGACGCCTGCAACATCATCGGTGTTCCTGCTGGAACATTGATGAGGCTGATCAAGCCCATCTACGGTCAAGCCGACGCCCCAAGGCAATGGTTCATCGTGGCCAGAAGGCGACTTGAAAGCCTTGGATACCGAGCTCACCCACTGGATCAGTGCCTCTTCACCTACCACGACTCCGATAAGAACCTGATCTCCATGGTGGGACTCCACGTCGACGATCTTTTGGGCTGTGGTAAAACCGACTCCTCTGAATACGAGCACCTCAAGTCCAAGCTGAAGGAAGCCTTCAACTTCAAGCACTGGACGGAAGAGGGAGACACACCGTTGGAGTTTTGCGGCTGCCACCTGAGCCGAGACAACACTGAGTCCAAGCTGCACCAGAGCGACTATTTCAAGAAGGTCAAGCCCATGACATGCAATGATTATGATGCCAACCGTTCCCTCAACAACAAGGAACAAAGTTGCCTCAGAGCCCTTCTCGGAGCACTTCAATGGCCTGCTACTCAGACCTCACCTCATTTGAGTGCTTCGGTATCTTTGTTATGCGGCGAAGTCACAGCCGCCACAGGTGACACTGCAGCTCAAGCCAACAAGCTCCTCCGCTTTGCCAAGAATAACAGCGATGCTGCTCTGATCTTTCGAGATCTTGGAGGGGACATGGAGAAGCTGTGCATGGTGGCCATGAGCGATGCAGCTTGGGGAGTTCGTCGAAACAGCGAATCCCAAGGTGGCTATGTGATCTTCCTCTGCAACCAGCAGATCCTAGAAGATGGCTCTACACAGGACTACATTGTCCTGGACTGGAGAAGTTTCAAATTGCCAAGAGTGAGTCGCTCATCACTCAATGCTGAGAGCCAGGCCTGCTCGGCCGCCATGGACGCCCTGGAGTACCTGTTGATCTTCTGGGAGGGCTGCACCCGACACGACTTCCAACTTCGACAGGTGGACGAGTTTTCACCGACTATGCCCTCGTCACTGGTGGTCGACGCCAAGGCGCTCTACGACTCGCTCAAGGCTGAAACTCCCAGCCTACAAGGCGACAAAAGAACAAAGATTGAAGTCATGGTGACCAAGCAGAAGATGCTGGCAATGAAGTCCCGGCTGAAATGGGTCTCATCTGAAGCTCAAATGGCCGATGGAGTCACCAAGTATGCCGCCAGACAGCTCTTTGCCGATCGTCTTCGTTCTCATCACCTTTCACTACAAGCTGATGTCTCTTTTCAGGCATCCAAGAAGAAGACCCTGGCAGAGCGACAGGCAAGCGCAAGACGCCATGCAATCACTCGGACTGGCAACCCCAACCACTTGGCCTTTGCCGTCCTCACCTCGCAGATGATTGGAGTCAAGGCCATGACGGTGGATGAGGTCATAGCAACCATGCTGTCACCCGAGATAACCGTGACCCTGTATGTCATTGTGATTGGCATGCTGGTATGGCGCTTCCTTTGTGGCAACAAGGGAACTTCATCATGGAGCTCCACGGTTACAAGAACAACCTGGACTATGACTTCAACGAGCTCTACAGCGGCCGAGACACAGACCGAGAAGGAGCCTGAAACCTCCTTTGGTGTTCTCCGCACCGAGAACCTGCGGCTGCAAGACATCGTGAGAGACCAAGAAGCTGAACTATTTGACCTACAAGCTCAATGCAGAGCACAAGAAGAAGAGATTGAACAGCTCATCGACATCCGAGAGTACATGAGGATTGAGATGCGCGAGATCGACACCGAGTACAAGAAGGCCCGCGACAACTGGATCGATGCGCACAACCGCTTAGCTGCGGTACGTGATCAGCTCTCCAGAAGTTGGGTTCCAGATGCGGTCATCACCACACGCACTGGAAAGTCCTACCACACCTATGCAGACTGTCAAGCTTTGGCCTCCTCTGATGCCACCCAGCTGAGACAGTGGAACTGCTGCGCCTTTTGCAGCCAGAAGCATTTGGAGTTTTGGAGGTCGTACTAAAGACCACCACCGGTGTGAATTGTACGCCGTACAACTTGAGTTTGAGCAGCTTTTGACCGCCGGTCGCTGCCACTTGGCTCTCCTGCACCCTGCAGGGGCCCCTTGAGACCTCACACGTGCTACGCACATGCTAGAAAAGAGACGCAGTAACTTTTTCACTTTCCATCTCGACACTTCGTGCGGTCGCGATACAACACGAGTTTCCACTTCCGTGTTTTCATAACTACCGTAAGAACCCCTCAGTGTGCCCACACTGTTTGGGGAAAAAAATACATCATAAGATCTCATAAGCCATAAGCGATCAAAGCACTTAACAGGACCCAACAGACCAGAACTGGTGCTAACAGACTATCACTGGGAGGTTCTTCAACTTCACCAGCCCTGTCAGAGGTCAAGGTAGCATCTCAAAAAAAATGGTGTATCTATGGCTTTCAGGGCCTTTTGATTCTCACCTGCCTTTGTGTCACAAAGAAAAACAAAGAAGGCAGAACGTTGTGACAAAAACCTTCTGTTCAAAGGCTTCAAAGCTGAAAGGCCTTGTTCAGTTCGGTCCCAGATCCAACACCCTCCCCAATCACCCCCTTAAGCATCAAGGCGCGATCCGTGAATGCGGCGATGCTTACGCTCTTGCCAGTGGGCATCCACATACCCCAGGTTCTTGCTTTGCCAATCTTCTGGAAGCTGTCCATTGACTGAGCGCTCTCTCTTACTAAATCTTGCCATTCCAAATTCCAAAATCTCGCTTAAAGAACGACAGAACTATTGGCTGGTGATCTTGACACAACCTCTTTGCAATGCGGTTCTTCCACAAGAACAAGCAAATCTTTAAGCATTAAGCATCCACGATCCATTCACAATAACCGGTCCCTTCCTTGCTTGTTTCAAACTCTGCCAGTCCTGGTGAATTGCATCTACAAGTGTACAAGCGATGCACGAGCAAAGATGGGTCTTAAGCCCGCGTGTACTCTGAGGCTTTGGCTTACACTGCTCTTCTCTACTGCCTTGGCATGTGCAATCGCTTCTCAGTGAATCCGACTCTAGTTCCTTGATACAAGGACCTCACGGCTGTTCTTGTAGCTCAGAGCTGTTACAATCATGGTCTACCAGTCTGATGAGCTGCACCTAGTAGGAGTTCTGGGAGTGCCCAGAGTTTGGCATAGGCATAGGTATCTTCCTAATAATATGTAGTAATTCATAATAAAAGGATATGCAAGTCGCAAAAAGGATATGAAATAAGGCCGTGCTCATCGTTCTGTGTTCATATCTGTATGTTTCTTTTACTAGGACTTGTCCTCAAAGTGTCGTTTCTTCTTTTGGTGCAGGCACGTTGCTTTGAACACATGAGAAAGAGCCATACAGGCCATACAAAAGCTATTCTTTTCGCACAGGACCACCTCTGCAATACTTCTTACAGTATCTGGGTATTGCACCACTTTGACAGCGCGCTTGCTTGTAGAGGCTGCAGCACCCATGCCACAGGCAGTAGAAAATGAAGACGGGAAAAGAATCTTTCCAGGCGGTTGCCACTGATATGGTGGGGCAGTGGGTGCACTTGAAGTTTGGATCTGGCCGGGAAAAAAGGAAAGCATAGTCACAGTCACTGCCTCATCCTTTTTGCATCAATGTTCAACGTCAATCGCAAGAAGCTACTAGGGGCTCCTGGCCTCGCTACTAGGAACAAGAGGACGCTACTAGGGGCTCCTGGCCTTATATACTATATATATATATACTAGGAGCAATAGGTTCAACCAACCGTCGCTGGTGAGACTGTATTTTTGGGGGGGTGAGTAGCTAGAAGCTAGGGCAGTACTGCTAGTAGCAAGAAGCCACGAACGTAACACGGGTGCAAAGTTGGCCAATTTGTGAGTTGTGAAAAGGCTTGGAGGTGACAAGCAGGATGACCTGTTGAGCCGATCCCACATGAGCCAAATGAATTCGGAGTACCAGTCTATAATGCTCTTCAAAGGGAACCCAAAATTTAAAGGCCTGCTACCCAGCACAGGTGCAAGACGGTAGCCCAATCGACAGCAGCTAGACATCTCACCAAGACCAGCCATTTCTGCAGCCAGACTTCATGCATCAGGGTGTCTTCCATTGATACTGCCCTGCAAACATTCCGGACACTCTTGGCTGCTCTACGAGGCTAGGAGGACACTGCCTAAAAAACAAGATCATTCGATGTTGTGCGAAAGCATTCAGAGTCCTCGTGGGTGGCAATTTCGACCCTCTACCCTACGAACTATGCTTTGCACAAATTCGGCTCGGCTCTCAATCAAGGCTCAGTTTGTAGGACCTGACGACCGGCACAGTTCCTCTACGATTTGAACAAGAAAAACAAAGAAGTGAGTCTGTGAGTACACCAATCCCCCTCCCTCTTTGGCATGCTTCTTGCCCAGCCAGCTATTCAGAAAGCTGGTAAGCCAGCAAGGAAGGCGAACCGTTTGGCTGGCTTTCCGCAAGTCAGTGAGATGGTGAATGAGCTATCGGTAAATTCAACGGGTAAGCTACCAGTTTGTTTGCTTGTCTGGTTTGCTGATTTGTCTAGTTGCCGCTGCCTACTTTCTCCAGGCGGTTTCCCGACCTTCATGCCTCTTCTTTCGTTCGTTGCCCCCACTTCCTGCCTTCATCTCTGCTCAGCTATTCATTCAGTGTGTATTATGTTTGCTGGATGGGGAAAAAAGAATTTGCCAGTGACCAAATGAACTTTCAGTCTGTAGTAAACCGGGTCTTCTTAGTGGTAGGGTAGGTAGTTGGTCAGGTAGTTGATCATAGGGCGAAAATCACCTGGCACAAACAGACTTTGTAACACCAAGGCTTCGCCGTTTGGAAATCGTAAAATCGAAGGCGAAGCCGGCGAAGCACTTCGAAGCTGAAGGACCAAGCCGATTTGGCACGATGATGTCCTACGAAAGGAGGAAAGCGCACTGCCTCGCATAGCCAAAAGGAACAAAAAGAGAGTTAAATGCGAAGCAACATGTCCAAAACACTTTGAAAAGCGACCTTTTCATTGGGAACAAGAAGCTACTAGGCGCAAAGGGCATCGCTACTAGGAACAAGGACGCTACTAGGGGCTCCTGGCCGTACTACTAGAAACAAGAAGCTACTAGGGGTACTTTCGGACACCTCAGGTCCAGGCCCCTCTCGCATGGCCAGATCTAGCTTTTGCTTCAGGATCTCAAAGCTGCTGTACCTGCGAGCTGTGACCAAGATCCACAAGACGCGAAGAAATGTTGGCTCCCATAGAGCTGCCAATTGGCCAATGAGCAGGGAGTCACCATGGTTTATGAGCTACAATTGAGTGGATCAGCATACCAGTGCAGCCCTTACCAGCCTTAGCTAGCCTGTCCGAACTCAGTCTGAGAGATGGGGAGATGCTTTTGCTTGCGATCAGCAAGACCGCAGTTGATCAATTGGATGTTGGTTTACTGTCAATGTTTGGCAATCTTCCTTCCAACATGACTGTGCTTCTGCGACGTACAAACTAATTTTGTTTTGTATATATAAATAGACCATTCTGATGTGAGTCACAAGCCCAAACTTGTGAGTCACATGTTTGACGCAGGAAACCAGAAGGTCACTCCGGTAGCTTCAGATAGTTTGCGCAGGTCATCACTGATGGCATGAAGTCGTTCGCCCTGGCACCAAAGATTAGGGCAGGCCCAGACAGTGTGACACCTATGACCTATGATTTGCACACATGGCAGTAGTTAGTATATAGTATATAGTCAAAAAGGAGGATCAATCGAAAACACACGGCACGTGGACCTGTTGAGACTCAAGGATATGTTGGTTGGCCCTGCTTCACTCACTCTCCATATGCCCAAATTGCCAGGGCGACGTCAGGGGTGCTGGTGGCGCTTCCTAGCAAGTAAATCGCCGTTCAAAGAGAAAGCAGTGGGTGACTTACAGCCCAGAGTCGGCATCAGATTTGTTTTCGAGTGTGGAATCATCTGACCAGTCACGACAGTTCCAACAAGAAAGCCTTCTGTTCTCATTCTGCTGCTTGCCAGGAACATGACAATATCACGTGCTTCATGGCTTGGAGGCAACACAAGCTGGCCCATTTCACCACAAATTGAAGCAAGTAGGCGATGGCAATATCGGTTTTCCACGCTTTCGATATTGGCTTCTTCTCATATTGGCTTGAAATGTTGGGACACTGGTGTCACCAGTGGTGTCATACACGTTTAGAATTTGGAACCCTCTACCCGTTGGACCTCCCTTTACCCATTGCCTTCTTGACAACGGTCAGAGGTGGCTTCAGCCCCCCAAAGCCGCCAAGGGGCAACGTTGGGGCGCCTGGTACGCGTTGGGAGGATGAAAAACTTCTTGCTCAAAAAATCAAGCCAGCCAGAACACTCAAACCCTTAAAAACTTGATCATGAACCAGGGCGTCCACCACTGCAGACTCGATGGCTTCACAAACTATGTGTTTCTTGTTTTACATAAGACTATATAACAATACTCTTGGACTCTTGAAGTGTCTGTTAGTATGTCACATTCAAGTTTAAGGTACTATATAAATGATATTGAATGTCTCCGTAGGCCGGCTTTTGCAAACATGTTCTGACTACAGTGCTTGAGGAATACAGGCTTGATTGCGCGAATTTTGAGCGTCTGTTTTCATCAGGTATGCAGAGAACTGTTGACCGCGTGAACGTGCGTGGATTGGGTCTCTCAGCACCCAACCGGTGGCAAACATCAGGAAAATTCGCCTCAGAGTCTCCGAGCAGCATTGCTCAGCACCCTTTTTCTCGGCAGGTGTTCTGTTCCATGTTGTTCCCATAGCAAGTTGGATTCTATGCAAGGAGTCACGCTCATGGGACCGGTGAAAGTAGACATTCCATCAATGCACCACTTTCTTGTGTCTCCAGCACACCAGGGCGAGCGTCTCATTCTGTTCTCACCCCAATCGCAGCCAGCATGAACAAAAAATGGAGGACTGAGTCGGACAAATCAGCTTCTCAATCGTAATACACGACTTGACGTGGGTCTCTGAATTGGAGATGATATATAATATATATTAATACAATTTAATATATGTCAGAAGGTGAACATGAAATACAAAGACTCAAGCGTTGTACAGAAACAGAGATGTTCTGTTCTGAGACAAACACACACTTCGTGGAAAGCCACCAACTCCCGGACCCTCCGCCTGTTCTCCACGAACCCACGAACCCGAATGCAAACACGATCGAAAAACTAATATGTCCAAAGGACACTCTTGTAGGACACTCTTGCGGGACACTCTGTAGGACACTCTTGTGGGCCACTCTTGTAGGAAACTCTTGTGGGACACTCTTATAGGACACTCTTGTGGGACACTCTTGTGGGACACTCTTGTGGGACACTTTTGTGGGACACTCTTGTAGGACACTCTTGTGGGACACTCTTGCGGGACACTCTGTAGGACACTCTTGTGGGCCACTCTTGTAGGAAACTCTTGTGGGACACTCTTGTAGGACACTCTTGTGAGACACTCTTGTAGAACACTCTTGTGGGTCACTCTTGTAGGAAACTCCTGTGGGACACTCTTGTAGGACACTCTTGTGGGACACTCTTGCGGGACACTCTTATAGGACACTCTTGTGGAACACTCTTGTGGGACACTCTTGTAGGACACTCTTGTGGGACACTCTTGTAGGACACTCTTGTAGGACACTCTTGTCGGAAACTCTTGTGGGACACTCTTGTGGGACACTCTTGTAGGACACTCCTGTACGA